ATTTAAATTTGTTACCTACGTGACTTTACCGAAAAAACCTAAGAGTATGAATCCTTGCAGTCACGAAAGCTTATGGAGACGACATATTTCCGAAATTGCGAATTTCACTGCTAATTTGATTAACAATAGCAGTTTAAAATTGCAAGCGGTGAGCGGTCGTTCGGCAAATTTAATCTTATTTTGTCGTATTTGCGTGTGCTTCAATGGGACAAGATCGTCTCGGCGATCTTGTTCTTCTTAGCATTGAAAGAAAAAACATTGGAAAAAACTAATTTTGATTACGTGATTGACCAGTTTGCGCAGTGAAATCAAGAATCAAGTATAACCCGTAAAACAAAGTTTTTCACTCTAAATCCTTTATATGCGTGGCGGCTAGAGTCCTCTCGTCCTCTGGCTTGAGATGGCTGCCACCTATTGGTCAGATGATTGCATTGCACCATTAAGCAATTGGTAATTAAATATAATATTTTGTCTTAAAAAGTGTAACATTTTGGAATTATTTTTCACGAAAATGCATTGTCACGCACAACGAGTCTGTGTGCGAACTGTGAGCTCGATTGGATCACGGGAAGTGGGTTAAAAAACGACCGAAAGATTTGCACGGTCATAAGCAAGCAAGCAAGTGAACTTAATATAAAGGATTTAACAAGTATAACCCGTAAAAACAAAGTTTTTCACTATAAATCCTTTATATGCGTGCCGGCTAGAGTCCTCTCGTCCTCTGGCTTGAGATGGCTGCCACCTATGGGTCAGATGATTGTCTGCCAGTATTAAGCAATTGGTAATTAAATATTTAATTTGTTTTCCCTAAACAGTGTAACATTTTGGAATTTTTTTTCACGAACATTAATTGTCACGCACAACGAGTCTGTGTGCAAAATGTCAGCTCGATTGGATCACGGGAAGTGGGTTAAAAAACGACCGAAAGATTTGCACGGTCGTAAGCAAGCAAGCAAGCGAACTTATATAAAGGATTTAAAAATGAATCTTTTGTAGACTATGTCTACGACAGTGGCTGAGTGAGCCATGTAATATAATTTCTACAAATCTGCTTCTTTAAATGCAATGTTTCATTAAAATTTTAATTGTTAGTCCTTATTCTTAGGTGTTTTCGGTAAAGTCACGTAGGTAAAACATCAAAATTAATAAAAATTATAAAATAAAATAAAGATCATTTTATGTTATTATCTTAGGTGTTTTCGGTAAAGTCACGTAGGTAAAACATCAAATTAATAAAAAAAAATAAAGATCATTTTATTTATTATTTTTAATAAAGATAATTTTATTTTATTTTTTATTAATTTTGATGTTTTACCTACGTGACTTTACCGAAAACACCTAAGAATATGATTCCTTGCAGTCACGAAAGCTTCAAGTCTAGAATTAATGTTAGTCCTTATTCAAATCTACCGGGCAGTGCCAGGCTAGGTGCACCTATCCTGGCACAAGAGTATTGCGGTGACGTCATAGACAATGGAGGAAACGGGGGGGGGTGGTCACAGCCGTCACGTGACCCCGGGGCACCTCGCGCGACGGATGACGTCATCGCGGGTGACGTCACCGGCCGTGTCTCCACCAGCCCCCCCCCACCCCACACGCGGGAGGGGGGGGGTTAAAGAAGGGCGGGGCCAACAGCAACCGCGATCAACGATTGGTTGAGACGCGTCTCACGTGATCACCACCAACCCCTTCGCCCCCCCCACCGGAAGCCACTCCACTTCACCCCCCCTAACCGGAAGCCCCCACCCTCACCCCCGTCGCAGACATTTAACCGACGGCAGCGCGAGCTCGCCCACCGATTGGTCGACGCACGCCCCCCCCCTAACCGGAAGCCCCCACCCTCACCCCTCCACCCCCCCCACCTTCTCCCCCGTCGCAGACACTTAACCGACGGCAGCGCGCGAGCTCGCCCACCGATTGGTCGACGCACGCCCCCCCCCCCTAACCGGAAGCCCCACCCTCACCCCCTCCACCCCCCCACCTCTCCCCCCGTCGCAGACACTTAACCAACGGCAGCGCGCGAGCTCGCCCACCGATTGGTCGACGCACCCCCCCCCCCACGTGGTTCGCGGCTGGACCAATCGGCGTGCGCGCAGAGTGGGTCCGCGTTTCGGTGCCGTTGCTGCTGCCCACAGCTGCCCATTGCCGCCGCGACCACCGCCGCGCTGCTATGCTGCTGCTCCTGCTAATACTGTGCTGCTCCATCGTGCCCACAGCTTCTTGGGCAAACCCCCTCTTCCCCGGAGAGGAGGGGGGGGGTCGACTAGTGAGGGTGGTGGAGCGTTGTCCACCGCTGGAGGCTGAATGAGGTTGCATCGTCTAGGCAGCGGAGCGAAACGTGCGTTTTGTCTGCGCCGAGGCATGGGCGGACTCGGGCACAGAGCGATTGAAGGTGGTGGACGTGGTGGTGGACGTGAGGTGATTGTCCATCTCTCGGGGTTTGTGTTCCTCCCCAGGTGGGGAGGGGGGGGGGGCCCCCGTGTGTCCTGAGGGGGAGCCCGCGTCTCACGTGTCTCACCCGGGGTCCTCAGGGGGGCCGTGTCTCTTTAATACCCATCTTAGGGGGGCCGTGTCTCTCTCCTACCCATCTTAGGGGGGCCCGTGTCTCTCCTACCCATCTTAGGGGGGCCCGTGTCTTAAGGGGGGGGGCCCGTGTCTCTCTCCTACCCATCTTAGGGGGGCCCGTGTCTTAAGGGGGGGCGTGTCTCTCTCCTACCCATCTTAGGGGGCCCGGTCTTAAGGGGGGGCCCGTGCTCTCCTACCATCTTAGGGGGGCCCGTGTCTCTCTCCTACCCATTGGGGGGGGGGGGGTGTCTCTCTCCTACCCATCTTAGGGGGGCCCGTGTATCTCTCCTACCCATCTTAGGGGGCCGTGTCTCTCTCCTACCATCTTAGGGGGGCCCCGTGTCTCTCTCCTACCCATCTTAGGGGGGCCCGTGTCTTCTCTACCCATCTTAGGGGGGCCCGTGTCTTAAGGGGGGGCCGTGTCTCCTCCTACTCATCTTAGGGGGGCCCGTGTCTCTCTCTACCCATCTTAGGGGGGCCCGTGTCTCAAGGGGGGCCCGGTGTCTCCCCCCCCACCCACCCACGTGAGGGCAGCCCGAATCTCCCCCGACTCACCCCATATCCCCATCCTCTTGCGCTCCCCACACGCTCACCACCCCCACACGCTCACCCCACTTACTCACCCCACACGCTCACCCACGCGCTCACCCACGCGCCACCCCACGCGCCACCCCACACGCTCACCCCCCCACACGCTCACCCCACACGCTCACCCCACACACGCCACACTCACCCCACACACTCACCACACACCACCACCCACACACTCTCACCCCACAACACTCTCACCCACACACTCCTCACCCCCACACGCTCACCCACACATCCCCCCCCCACACGCACTCACCCCACACGCCCCCCACACACGCTCACCCACGCGCTCACCCCCCCCACGCTCACCCCACATCAGCCCACACGCGCTCACCCCCACACACTCACCCACACGCGCACCCCACACGCTCACCCCACACACTCACCACACGCTCACCCCACACACTCACCCCACCACGCTCACCCACACGCTCACCCTACACACGCCAACACACGCTCACCCCACACACGCTCACCCACACGCTCACCCCAACGCTCACCCCACACACGCTCACCCATTCACTCACCCCCCACACGCTCACCCACACACGCTCACCCCACACACGCTCACCCCCACACACGCTCACCCACACACGCTCACCCCCCACACGCTCACCCACACGCTCACCCCCCCACACGCACTCAACCCCACACACGCTCACCCACGCGCTCCCCCCCCCACACGCTCACCCCACACTCAGCCCACACGCGCTCCCCCACACACTCACCCACACACGCTCACCCCACACGCTCACCCCCCACGCGCTCACCCACACGCTCACCCCACACGTCACCCCACAAGCTCTCACCCACACACTACCCCCCCACACGCTCACTCCACACACACCCCCCCACACGCACTCACCCCACACACATTCACACACGCCCCCCCACACGTCACCAACACGCCACCCACACACGCTCACCCCCACACACACTCACCCACACGCTCACCCCCACACACGCTCACTCCACACGCTCATCCACACACACTCACCCCCCCACACGCTCACTCCACGCACTCACCACCCCACAGCTCACCCACACGCTCACCCCACACGCTCACCCACCCCTAAGACCCCTAATCCACCCTCTTAACCCCCCTAACCCCCCTAACCCACCCCTAAGACCCTAACCCACCCCCTTAACCCCCCAACCCCCTAAACCCACCCCTAAGACCCCTAAGACCCCTAACCCACCCCCCTAACCCCCCTAACCCCCTAAACCCACCCCTAAGACCCTAAGACCCCTAACCCACCCCCTTAACCCCCCCTAACCACCCTAAGCCCCCTAACCCACCCTTAACCCCCCCTAACCCCCCTAACCCACCCCTAAGACCCCTAACCACCCCCCTAACCCCCTAACCCCCTAACCCACCCCTAAGACCCCTAACCCACCCCCTTAACCCCCCCTAACCCCCCTAACCCACCCCTAAGACCCCTAACCCACCCCCCTAACCCCCCTAACCCCCCTAAGACCCCTAAGACCCCTAACCACCCCCTTAACACCCCCTAACCCCTAACCCACTCCCTAAGCCCCGTTACACCCACCCCAGCCCGCCATTCATTCCCCATCGGCAAGCCACACACAGAGAGGCCCTTCCAGATTAGTCTAACGCCTTCACCCGACCTGACCCCCCACCACCCCCCCACCACCACCACCCCCCCACCACCCCCCACCACCACCCACCACCACCACCACCACCCCCCATTACCCCTTAACCCCTACCCCATTAACCCTTACCCATTAACCCCCCCTCCCTTACCCCTTACCAATCCTGCTCTTCGCCATGCGCCGTTAATACCAACCACAACATTTTTGCACCTTTGCATAGCAAGCCAGGCCTAGTGTCTGTGGGGGGCACACGCCCCCGCAACAAAAACAGCCACAAAACCATCGACGAATCCAGCCTGGCCCGCGACTTTCACCAACCGGAAAACGAGGAGGCCGGTCCCGTGGCGTGGACACCCACCACCACCACCCCCCACGCCTCGGTTCTCGTCTCTGCCCCCCCCCGGGGTGACGGCAGAAGGCCGAGGCTGCTGGCGCTGCCGTAGGCGAGTCGGTGAGGAGGTGAGACACACACAGAGGCAGGGCTGACTGTGAGTGTGGTGACTGTGAGTGTGGTGACTGTGAGTGCGGTGACTGTGAGTGTGGTGACTGTGAGTGCGGTGACTGTGAGTGTGAGACTGTGAGTGTGATGACTGTGAGTGTGATGACTGCGAGTGCGGTGACTGTGAGTGTGATGACTGTGAGTGTGATGACTGTGAGTGTGGTGACTGTGAGTGCGGTGACTGTGAGTGTGGTGACTGAGTGTGGTGACTGTGAGTGCGGTGACTGTGAGTGTGGTGACTGTGAGTGTGGTGACTGAGTGTGGTGACTGCGAGTGTGGTGACTGTGAGTGCGGTGACTGTGAGTGTGGTGACTGTGAGTGCGGTGACTGTGAGTGTGGTGACTGTGAGTGCGGTGACTGTGAGTGTGATGACTGTGAGTGTGATGACTGTGAGTGTGATGACTGCGAGTGCGGTGACTGTGAGTGTGATGACTGTGAGTGTGATGACTGTGAGTGTGGTGACTGTGAGTGCGGTGACTGTGAGTGTGGTGACTGAGTGTGGTGACTGTGAGTGCGGTGACTGTGAGTGTGGTGACTGTGAGTGTGGTGACTGTGAGTGTGGTGACTGCGAGTGTGGTGACTGTGAGTGCGGTGACTGTGAGTGTGGTGACTGTGAGTGTGGTGACTGTGAGTGTGGTGACTGTGAGTGTGGTGACTGTGAGGTGATGAACTGTGAGTGTGATGACTGTGAGTGTGATGACTGTGAGTGTGGTGACTGTGAGTGCGGTGACTGTGAGTGTGGGACTGTGAGTGTGGGTGACTGTGAGTGTGGTGACTGTGAGTGTGATGACTGTGAGTGTGAGTGACTGTGAGTGTGGTGACTGTGAGTGTGATGACTGTGAGTGTGATGACTGTGTGTGTGGTGACTGTGAGTGTGGTGACTGTGAGTGTGGTGACTGCGAGTGTGATGACTGTGAGTGTGGTGACTGTGAGTGTGGTGACTGCGAGTGTGACTGTGAGTGTGATGACTGTGAGTGTGGTGACTGTGAGTGTGATGACTGTGAGTGTGATGACTGTGAGTGTGGTGACTGTGAGTGTGGTGACTGTGAGTGTGATGACTGTGAGTGTGGTGACTGCGAGTGTGATGACTGTGAGTGTGGTGACTGTGAGTGTGGTGACTGCGAGTGTGATGACTGTGAGTGTGATGACTGGAGTGTGGTGACTGTGAGTGTGATGACTGTGAGTGTGATGACTGTGAGTGTGGTGACTGTGAGTGTGATGACTGTGAGTGTGATGACTGTGAGTGTGGTGACTGTGAGTGTGGTGACTGTGAGTGCGGTGACTGTGAGTGTGATGACTGTGAGTGTGATGACTGTGAGTGTGGTGACTGTGAGTGTGATGACTGTGAGTGTGGTGACTGTGAGTGTGATGACTGTGAGTGTGATGACTGTGAGTGTGGTGACTGCGAGTGTGGTGACTGCGAGTGTGGTGACTGTGAGTGTGATGACTGTGAGTGGTGACTGTGAGTGTGGTGACTGTGAGTGTGGTGACTGTGAGTGTGGTGACTGTGAGTGTGGTGACTGTGAGTGTGGTGACTGTGAGTGTGGTGACTGTGAGTGTGGTGACTGTGAGTGTGATGACTGTGAGTGTGGTGACTGTGAGTGTGGTGACTGTGAGTGTGGTGACTGTGAGTGTGGTGACTGTGAGTGTGGTGACTGTGAGTGTGATGACTGTGAGTGTGGTGACTGTGAGTGTGGTGACTGTGAGTGTGGTGACTGTGAGTGTGGTGACTGTGAGTGTGGTGACTGTGAGTGTGGTGACTGTGAGTGTGATGACTGTGAGTGTGGTGACTGTGAGTGTGGTGACTGTGAGTGTGGTGACTGTGAGTGGGTGACTGTGAGTGTGATGACTGTGAGTGTGGTGACTGTGAGTGTGATGACTGTGAGTGTGGGTGACTGTGAGTGTGGTGACTGTGAGTGTGGTGACTGTGAGTGTGGTGACTGTGAGTGCGGTGACTGTGAGTGTGGTGACTGTGAGTGCGGTGACTGTGAGTGTGGTGACTGTGGTGGTGACTGTGAGTGTGGTGACTGTGAGTGTGGTGACTGTGTGTGTGGTGACTGTGAGTGTGATGACTGTGAGTGTGTGATGACTGTGAGTGTGATGACTGTGAGTGCGTGCGGTGACTGTGAGTGCGGTGACTGTGAGTGTGGTGACTGTGAGTTGGTGACTGTGTGTGTGGTGACTGTGAGTGTGGTGACTGTGAGTGTGGGACTGTGTGTGTGGTGACTGTGAGTGATGAGTGTGTGTGGGACTGTGAGTGTGGTGACTGTGAGTGTGGTGAGTGTGGTGACTGTGAGTGTGATGACTGTGAGTGTGGTGACTGTGAGTGTGGTGACTGTGAGTGCGGTGACTGTGAGTGCGGTGACTGTGAGTGCGGTGACTGTGAGTGTGTGTGACTGTGAGTGTGGTGACTGTGAGTGTGATGACTGTGAGTGTGATGACTGTGAGTGCGGTGTGACTGCGTGTGCGGTGACTGTGAGTGCGGTGACTGTGAGTGCGGTGACTGTGTGTGCGGTGACTGTGAGTGCGGTGACTGTGAGTGCGGTGACTGTGAGTGCGGTGACTGTGAGTGCGGTGACGAGAGTGCGGTGACTGCGTGTGCGGTGACTGCGTGTGCGGTGACTGCGAGTGCGGTGACTGCGAGTGCGGTGACTGCGTGTGCGGTGACTGTGTGTGCGGTGACTGCGTGTGCGGTGACTGTGAGTGCGGTGACTGCGTGTGCGGTGACTGTGAGTGCGGTGACTGCGTGTGCGGTGACTGTGTGTGCGGTGACTGTGTGTGCGGTGACTGTGAGTGCGGTGACTGTGAGTGCGGTGACTGCGAGTGCGGTGACTGTGAGTGAGGTGACTGCGAGTGCGGTGACTGTGAGTGAGGTGACTGTGTGTGCGGTGACTGTGAGTGAGGTGACTGTGAGTGCGGTGACTGTGAGTGCGGTGACTGTGAGTGCGGTGACTGTGAGTGCGGTGACTGCGAGTGCGGTGACTGCGAGTGAGGTGACTGCGAGTGAGGTGACTGCGAGTGAGGTGACTGTGTGTGCGGTGACTGTGAGTGAGGTGACTGCGAGTGCGGTGACTGCGAGTGAGGTGACTGCGAGTGCGGTGACTGTGAGTGAGGTGACTGCGAGTGAGGTGACTGCGAGTGCGGTGACTGCGAGTGAGGTGACTGCGAGTGAGGTGACTGCGAGTGAGGTGACTGTGAGTGAGGGACTGTGAGTGAGGTGACTGTGAGTGCGGTGACTGATGCGAGTGAGGTGACTGTGAGTGAGGTGACTGCGAGTGCGGTGACTGTGAGTGAGGTGACTGTGAGTGAGGTGACTGTGAGTGCGGTGACTGCGAGTGCGGTGACTGTGAGTGAGGTGACTGCGAGTGCGGTGACTGTGAGTGAGGTGACTGCGAGTGAGGTGACTGCGAGTGCGGTGACTGCGAGTGAGGTGACTGCGAGTGAGGTGACTGCGAGTGAGGTGACTGTGAGTGAGGTGACTGTGAGTGAGGTGACTGCGAGTGCGGTGACTGCGAGTGAGGTGACTGCGAGTGAGGTGACTGTGAGTGAGGTGACTGCGAGTGCGTGTGACTGTGGTGAGGTGACTGCGAGTGCGGTGACTGCGAGTGAGGTGACTGCGAGTGAGGTGACTGTGAGTGAGGTGACTGTGAGTGAGGTGACTGTGAGTGCGGTGACTGTGAGTGCGGTGACTGCGAGTGAGGTGACTGGGAGTGCGGTGACTGCGAGTGAGGTGACTGCGAGTGCGGTGACTGCGAGTGCGGTGACTGTGAGTGCGGTGACTGTGAGTGCGGTGACTGTGAGTGCGGTGACTGTGAGTGCGGTGACTGTGAGTGCGGTGACTGCGAGTGCGGTGACTGCGAGTGCGGTGACTGTGAGTGCGGTGACTGTGAGTGCGGTGACTGCGAGTGCGGTGACTGTGAGTGCGGTGACTGTGAGTGCGGTGACTGTGAGTGCGGTGACTGCGAGTGCGGTGACTGTGAGTGTGGTGACTGTGAGTGCGGTGACTGCGAGTGCGGTGACTGCGAGTGCGGTGACTGTGAGTGCGGTGACTGTGAGTGCGGTGACTGTGAGTGTGGTGACTGTGAGTGCGGTGACTGTGAGTGCGGTGACTGTGAGTGTGGTGACTGTGAGTGCGGTGACTGTGAGTGCGGTGATGCGAGTGCGGTGACTGTGAGTGTGGTGACTGTGAGTGCGGTGACTGCGAGTGCGGTGACTGCGAGTGCGGTGACTGTGAGTGTGATGACTGTGAGTGCGGTGACTGCGAGTGCGGTGACTGTGAGTGTGGTGACTGTGAGTGCGGTGACTGCGAGTGCGGTGACTGCGAGTGCGGTGACTGTGAGTGCGGTGACTGTGAGTGGTGACTGTGAGTGCGGTGACTGCGAGTGCGGTGACTGCGAGTGCGGTGACTGTGAGTGCGGTGACTGTGAGTGCGGTGACTGTGAGTGTGGTGACTGTGAGTGCGGTGACTGTGAGTGCGGTGACTGTGAGTGTGGTGACTGTGAGTGCGGTGACTGTGAGTGCGGTGACTGCGAGTGCGGTGACTGCGAGTGCGGTGACTGTGAGTGTGATGACTGTGAGTGCGGTGACTGCGAGTGCGGTGACTGTGAGTGCGGTGACTGTGAGTGCGGTGACTGCGAGTGCGGTGACTGCGAGTGTGGTGACTGTGAGTGTGGTGACTGTGAGTGTGATGACTGTGAGTGTGGTGACTGTGAGTGTGATGACTGTGAGTGCGGTGACTGTGAGTGCGGTGACTGTGAGTGTGATGACTGTGAGTGTGGTGACTGTGAGTGCGGTGACTGTGAGTGTGATGACTGTGAGTGTGATGACTGTGAGTGTGGTGACTGTGAGTGCGGTGACTGTGAGTGTGGTGACTGTGAGTGCGGTGACTGTGAGTGTGATGACTGTGAGTGCGGTGACTGTGAGTGTGATGACTGTGAGTGTGGT